GGTCCCAGGTTCGATTCCGGTCAAGGGCATGTACCTGGGTTGCGGGCACATCTCCAGTGGGAGATGTGCAGGAGGCAGCTGATCGATGTTTCTCTCTCATCGATGTTTCTAACTCTCTGTCTCTCTCTCCCTTCCTCTCTGTGAAAAATCAATAAGATATATTTTAAAAAAAATGTTGAAGACTAGGAAAAGACTGTGTTCTCTCATAAATCCCTTTACTATAACTTACCTCATCTAATGGTTTATCTTCCAAAGCTGTCAAATCAAGTAGTGGGTTTTTCACTCCTAAGGAAACCATTGTTTTTAACCCTAGAAAATAAATGAAATAAAGTCGATCAAGTCTTACCTTTCTCAGAAATTAAAAAACTCACTAACATCACTAATAAGTAGAGAACAGCAAAATAAATGATAGAGTGTGTCAGGGGTAAACAGTTACCTTTTTCATCTATTTTGGCACATTCTGCAAACAGGTCCTTTGACCCTGTATTCAGCCGGTCCCTGTGAAAATAATGGGACTGAAAAAAACGTGTCCAGAATTCCTTTTCTGTCATGCTGTGGGGAACATTTTCTACATATTTCATTTTTACTGTGGAAGAAAAACCATAATGGTTACATGCTGCATTTCCATTTCTTAAAACCCCAAATTAGTTTAAATATAAACTAATAGCAAAAACTAGGTTATAAAACTGTTCAACTATATATTCTGTATATAATAATCTAATTATAAAAATGAAATACAACTTGAGAGATAAGGTGAGGTACTACCTTTACAAATCTTAACAATTACAAACAAAACCTTATTTTGTACCAAGAGATTTGACAAGTTTTAATAATAGTACCTACTTCATAGGGTATCTATTTATATAAAAGCCTAAGTCACCATTGCAACTGAACGGACGACCGAACAGGCTGTGTGGGGCGACTTGGCCGGCAGAGGGGTAGTGAGGGACGACCAAATGACAGAGCAGCAGGCTGCATGGGGCGACCAGGCTGGCAGAGGAGTTAGTGAGGGGCGACCAAACAACTGAGCAGCAGGCTGCGTGGGGCCACCAGATCGGCAGTGAGGGGTGACCAAACTACTGAACAGCAGGCTGCGTGGGTCAACCAGGCAGGGGTGGGTGAGTTGGGGACTATCAGGCCAGCAGGCAGAGGCAGTGAGGGGTGATCAGGCTGGAAGGGGGGCAGTTAGGGGTGACCAGGCTGGCAGGGGGGGCAGTGAGGGGTGATCAAGCTGGCAGGCAGAGGCAATTAGGGGTGATCAGGCTGGCAGGAAGGCAATTATGGGCAATCAGGAAATCAGGAAGACAGGCAGGTGAGCGGTTAGGGGCCAGTGGTCCACGACTGTGAGAGGGATATCTGACTGCCAGGCCTAACCCAGCAGTCAGACATCCCCCGAGAGGTCCTGGATTGTGGAGGGTGCAGGCTGGACTGAGGGGACGTCCCCACCCCCGTGCATAAATTTTGTGCACCGGGCCTCTAGTTTGTGATAACTAAATGAGTCAATATACATAGAGGCTTTAGAATGGTGTCTGGCACACCATAATGTTATCAGAAAGATATGCAAATAACTATATTACAATGTGATAACTCTGAGGCAGACACAGGCCCTACAGAAGGCGAGGGGGCTCATATCTATCTGAAGAAGTCAGAGGTAGTAATGAGGCAATGCTTGAGCTGAGTCCTGTGGGAGAGGTATGTTTCCTAAGGACTAAAGGTGCACGAGTGAGGAAGTGTGAAGAACAGCATATGGCTTAGGAGAGCACTGGTTGGTTAAAAAATGACTAAAGCAGTGACTCTCAACCTTGGCTGCACATCATAAATCACCAGAGCTGGGGTGATCCTATTAGGATGGTCTCTGCAAGGGAAAGGATTAAGTTAGAAAGGTCGCTTTGGAGGAAGTATAAAGGATGATTTGAGTTAGTGCTCTAGAGACTCATTTATTGATGCCTCTGGAGGATGTCATCTTGCTCAGATATGGGTAAGGGGAAATCAAGTTTAAGAACTACTGATGGAAAGAATGGGGAAGTCATCATACCAATGAATTGATGATAATACACTATATACTAAAACCCTTAATATCTACCACATGTCAAAACTAGGTACAGTACTTCACATATTTTGTTCTATTTGATCAAGAATAAAAGTAAACTTTTTGGTTTTCATTGAAATATTACTGAATTCATCCAAATAAATATTTTAACTATCTGAAAGAAGTGATTCATCTTACCTGCGGGATAGGTCCTAAATATGGACTCAATAATATCAGAGGTTAAATTATATCTTAGACCATTACATCCATCTGTTTGGGGCCGGACATCAGCCTAAAATAATGAATATATGTTAATTAAAATACTGGGGAAAGATGTTAAACACACAACAGACACTGAACCAAACTGGAAA